ATATATATATATATATATATATATATATATATATATATATATATATATATATATATATATATATATATATATATTAGGGTTGGGCCGATTAGTCGATTAAGAAATGGCCGATTAATCGGCCCAGCCGATCCCTATTCGATGATAAATTCAAATAGTTAAACAAAAATTCTTCCAGATATCCAGAAATGTCCCGTTTAGCCAAAGTTTACCTTTGCTACCCCACCAGCTCTGTGTATAGTGAGAGACTTTCTGAGGCAGGAAATATCTATTATCTAAAGAAATCAACTTCTGCCAGAAAAGGCTGAGATTTTAGCCTTTTTGCATCACAATTTGCCACCGGTTAAAAATAACAAATAAATTACATATTTTCTAAAAAACCCTCAATACTTTTTCAAATTGAGTATTTCTTTTTAACAAATTATTAGATGATTACATAACAAATTAATTAGCCGTGTAGTGGCGGTTGAGAATATCCACTACCCCATATCTTCCCGTGGGTGTCGTAAGAGGCGACAAAGGGACACAGAAAGGAGACGGGCAGCAGCATCTTTCTAATAACAACAATAACATAATAAAAAACTGCGGTTGCCAACCCGCTCGCCAAGCGTGGTAACTATGGCAAATAACCCCCCATGAGCAACGACACAAATAAACGGCCCCCAGTCCCCGGCGGCCCCGCTATTCCTGGCTACGGTGGCGACCATGGTAACGGCGGGGCAGGGGGTGCTAAGAATCTCCGGTGGAGGTTCGGTTGCCACCTACGACGACTCGACCTGGCAACGTATAACGCACGCACCCTGAGGACTGACGAGAAGATATTGGAGCTGGAAGAAGAGGTAGACAAGTTGCGCTGGCATATTATTGGATTATCTGAGGTCCGAAGAGGGGGAGGACACTGTAATCCTCGAGTCCGGCAACTTGTTCTATCACCGGGAGGGCGACCATCTGTCCCAAGGAGGTGTCGGATTTATCGTCCACAAGTCTCTCGTCAACAACGTTGTAAAGATTGGGAGTGTGTCGACGAGGGTCGCGTACCTGATACTCAGAATCACCATACGGTATTCGCTGAAGGTCATACAGGTCTACGCACCAACCTCGGCACATCCCGATGAGGAGGTGGAGGAAATGTATGAGGATATTTCTAGAGCCATGCATTCCTCCAAAACCCACTACACGGTGTTGATGGGAGACTTCAACGCAAAACTAGGCACAAGAGAAGGCGGTGAGCTGAAGTTAGGGAAATTTGGAGTAGGGCAACGGAACCGTAGGGGCCAGCAGCTGGCTGACTTTATGGAGAAAGAGGGACTCTTTATGATGAACTCTTTCTTCCAGAAGCGGCCCCACAGGAAGTAGACTTGGTCGAGCGCCGACGGTTCGACAAAAATAGATTACTTCATTATGACAACCAGACGCCAACTGTTCAGTGATCGCAAGGGTGAAAACCGGCAGCGATCACCGAATGGTTAGAGGCACACTGAACCTAAACGTTAAGTTGGAGAGGTCTCGTCTAATGAAGTCAACGCTCCGTCCCCCTCGAGCTCTAATCCAGAATCCCGAGACTTTTCAGCTCGAGTTACGTAACCGCTTTCAGTGCCTAGAAGATTGCAATGCAGTGGACGATATGAATGACAAGCTCGTGGAAACTGTCCATGCGGTCGGAGCTAAGTTCTGCAAGACCCGCCGCAGAAGAACACAAAAACTCTCCGATCACACTCTTAATCTTATGGCTGTTAGACGGGAGATGAGGCTGCAATCGTCAACAGATTTGACAGCATACAGGCAACTGACAGACAGATCTCCAAATGCATGCGGCAAGACTTACGCAACTTTAATACTGCTCGTATTAAAGAAGCGATCGAGCGGAACTAGGGCTCCAAAGTCTTTGCCAGAGATCTGTCTGCCAGAAAGAGCCAACTGTCAAAGCTGAAGACTGAGTGTGGCAGCATCGATTCCGGGACATCTGAGATTTTGAGTGAGATTGAAAGGTTCTATGGGCAGCTGTACACATCATCGTTACATTATTAACGATACAAGAGCAAGTCTTACCCGACACTATTCCGATGATATCCCGGACGTCAGTCTTAGCGAGATTAGAATGGCTCTCCAGCACTTTAAAAACGGCAGGGCCCCAGGCGAGGATGACTTGAAGTCCTTCAGAGGCTCTTCAATTCCGTCCTCCATGGTGGCACTACTCCGGAGGCGTGGAGCAGAAGTGCGGTGGTCTGGTTCTTTAAGAAAGGCGACAACGCTCTCTTGAAGAACTACGGACCGATTTCCCTTTTGAGCCGCGTTTACGTGCTGTTTTCGAGAGTCATTAAGAATCGTCTCGCACGCAGTCTCGACGACTTCCAGCCTCCCGAACAAGCCGGTTTCCGAAAAGGCTTCAGTACCATAGACCACATATATACCCTGCGGCAGATTGTACAGAAGACCGAAGAGTACAATCTGCCACTTTGCCTGGCGTAGCGGTGCCAAGTTGACTGGTATATCGAGGTGCTGAAGTGTTTGTACAGTAGGGCTACGATGGCTATCCGAGTACAGAACTAGAGTTCGAAACCTATCCAACTGCAGAGAGGTGTAAGACAGGGTGACGTTATATCCCCGAAACTCTTCACCGCTGCATTGGAAGACGTTTTCAAGCTACTGGACTGGAAAGGATACGGTATTAACATCAATGGCGAGTACATCACTCACCTTCGATTTGCCGACGATATAGTCCTTATGGCAGAATCGCTGGAGGACCTTAGCACTATGCTCAATGACCTCAATGGTGTCTCCCAACGAATAGGTCTTAAGATGAACATGGACAAAACAAAGATTATGTGCAATTTCCATGTCACACCTATGCCGGTAGTTGTGGGGAGCACTAAGCTCGAAGTTGTTGACGAGTACGTCTACCTGGGACAAATAGTCCGACTAGGTAAGTCCAACTTCGAACGAGAGGTCAATCGACGGATTCAACTCGGCTGGGCAGCGTTCGGGAAATTACGACACATCTTCTCGTCAGGTATACCTCAATCTCTGAAAACTAAAGTGTACAACCAGTGCGTGTTGCCAGTGATGACTTACGGATCAGAGACGTGTTCCTTCACTGCTGGCCGTATGAGGACGCTCAATGTCGCTCAGCGAGCTATGGAGAGGGCTATGCTCGGAGTTTCTCTGCGTGATAGACTCAGAAATGTGGATATCTGCAGTAGAACCAGAGTGACCGACATAGCCCAACGGATTAGTAAGCTGAAGTGGCAATGAGCCGGCCATATAGCTCGAAGAACCGATAACCGATGGGGAAGTAAGGTTCTCGAGTGGCAGCCCCGTACCGGTAGGCGTAATGTAGGGTGACCCCCCACTAGATGGAGTGACGACCTGGTAAGACATGCAGGAAGTCGATGGATGCAGGTGGCTCAGGACCTGCTTTGTGGCATTACTTGGGGGAGGCCTATGTTCAGCAGTGGACTTGTGAAGGGCTGTAATGATGATGATGATGATGAGATGATTAAAGATTCTTTCTTTAATAACATGACAGGAAAAAACAATTTAATGTAATTTTAAGTATAGAAAAATATCAATTTGATTTAATTTTTTGTACAAAAACAATAACAATTTAGTTTTAAGTACTGAAACAAGTATGTTCTATTTGTCTTTTAAAAATCTACATGCGTGTAGTTTAACAATCTTTATTCAAGAATTAAGTTTTTTTGTTATGTAAAGGGAGAGACTTAATTTTTTTTAAAGTTTATTAAGAATAATATTATTAATATTTTATTTTGTTGTGCCACTACTCTGCTTACAATTGAAAAAGTTAAAAAGTAGAATTAAAATAGTAAGTACTTGGTTTCTGTTTAGTTTTGAACAGCTACCTCAGATTCTTTTTTTTACCAAAGTTCCTATGTCCAGAATAATTAACATTAAAATATGTGAGACTGATTAATCATTAAAAGTTATGTATGAACCTACTTATTTTATTATTTATTTGCGTTACCTACATATAAATCTGACGTGAGTTTACGCATGGGAGAGAAACTATAGTTTTCTTAAATTAAAAGCTTTACTCATATCAATGTAGCCACCGTTACCACGCAGAAAATCACGAAAAACTTTTCTTAAATTAATAAAATAAAAAACCGATTAATCGGCCGTTTTAGCAGACTAATCGGTGAATACAAATAGGCCGATTAATCGGCTTCACCGATTAGTCGGCGGCTAATCGACCCAAATCTAATATATATATTATACATGAGAGCCTTGGTAGCTCAGAAGCTAAGCGCTCGATGTAAATTTCACAGTAAGCGAGCAACCCGGGTTCAATCCCCGTCGGTACCAATTCAATTGTAAATTGCAATTTAAGTGCTGCTTTACATGTCCGCTTTCTTTTTTATTTTATTAAAAGCGCGCGAATTAGACTGTGAACCTAACGTGGACGAACCGTGTTTTTAACAGCTGCCAAAAATGTTTTGCTTGTCACTCGACAATTGAGCAGTCCATGAGCTTCACACTAGTTTATTTTTGCTAATGTATCTTTCTCCTACACCATCTCATTCACTGGACGCTATTATATCAAATTAGATTATTAAAATGCAAATAAATATGAATCTCTCATAATTTCATAAATAAATTATGAATTTAGTTTGTTTACATAATTTTTTTGATCGAAATGAGTTACATGTTGGTCAAAGAGAAATGAATTTGCTTTTGTATTATGTACTTTTCCCACGATTGTAAAATCTAATCTAATCAATCTTAATCATTTTTACTTCTTACCTATGCTTGAGACTACAACCCCACCTGATGGTAAGTGGTGATGTAGACAATGTTGATTTACACAGCGACACAGCTTTACAAAAAAGTCTATTCACTCTTGCCTCAAAGACAAGTATATACAACTTAAATTACAAAGTAAGTAAGTATAGTTTAGTAAGTATAGTTTATACAAAGAAAATTGCAAGTGCCGCTCACTTGGTCATTGTGACAGTTGAAAAATTTGAACCCCATTTTACTTTGTGTTATAAATTTAGCTTCTTTTTTCGCTTTCTTGTTTGGGTTACGGAACTAAGTTGAGTCTCACTTTTGATTTCATGTTTGATTTCTATCTTTGGTGAAACATGTGATATGTTAGGCTCTTCTAATGATGGCGTCATTGGTTCGTGTTTGATATGGTCATGATCAACGTTTTCCTCATGTTTCCTGCAAATAAATATTAAAGCATGCATATTTCTTACTCGGATGATATTATAACAACTATCTTGTGTATCTTTTATAAAGATGTTTGTGATGTTTTCTTTCTATTTTGTGTGTTCTTTTATAAAGATTATGACTAAAAATTATGGTATGGTATGGTAAGATGTTTGTGATGTTTTCTTTCTGTTTTGTGTTTCTTTCATAAATATTATAATGTGTAAAAATTATGGTATGTAAATAAAGTGAAATTAAAAGAAACCATACCAATAAATGGCAAACTTATTCTATACCCTGATAACAAATTCTAATTACTTACACTATGGAACCATTTGTTATTTCTTTCTTTTGTTCCAATAAACTGGAAGGAAAATCCTGAGGTAATATAAAATTACTTTGGTAAGCCTCATGCTTTTTTAAATGCTCCTCTTCATTAAAAGGCATTGTTCTCCAATGTTCTAAAAATAAACAATATAAATGAGGAAAATCTTAAATAATATATTATACTTTTAATTTTAAGTCATAATTTGTATTGAAGTTTTTAAAGAAAATAAGTGAACATATTATCATTTTTGTACTTTTGGGAATTAAGTAAATAAACTTAGTGTTCCCATTCTTAACATTCAAGATGAATAGAATAAAATAGTGAACTCTACATATTGTAATTGTTACAAAAATTCTAAAGATCAGGCACAGGACCATGGCTCTATGTGATTTCCGAGGCACAGATGTGAAACACCACCAACTTCCTGATTCCTGGCAGATATAGAGAATTTCATGACAGATAATTCAATAACAGATTTTTGGCTCAACCTCATGATCAGCAGTTGCATTAATAACCACCAACGAGGCAGTGACTAAAAGTATTAATAGATAAATAAATAGGTATTGTAACAATGAAAAATAGACTGAATATTCATACTTCTTATTTTATTTCCTTCTTCTTTATATTTCTCTATTTCAGCATCTTTTTCCTTTATTGCTTGCCGTAGTTCCAATTCTATACTCTGAAGTTCTTTTATGGTTTTTAGTAGTGGCTGAGTAACTTTCTGAAAAAACTACAAAGCACGAATCTATTAAAAGAGGATCAGCAAATTTTAAGCATATAATATTTTATACTTAAAAGAAACATTGTCTTCCTCATTCCTTTATGTTTATTTATAAAATAATAATAACATGACACTAGACAATTTATCAAATAATTTTTTTTAACTTAAAACTTTTTAGTTTTCTTTAGGTTGGGGCATAAACAGAGTAAGTTCTATTTCTAATAATCAATTTTATTAAATCATTGGTATGAACTGGGATAAGTCCTTACTGTAAACTTCACAGCATACAAGCAGCCCAGGTTTGATACATCACTACCAATAAAAAAAAATTGAATTTGGTTAGCAATGAAGTAAAATATCTGGAGGAAACTTGTATTTCTAAAAAAAGAAGATGTGAAGTCCACTACAGCATAGTAAGGCAGCGCAGCAGACATTTCCTTAAGACCTGTGCCCAGCAATTAGATAAATACATATACTGTAAATTTACCTTAAATTTAACAAAAATCATCATTACTGCAGATCAAAAGTTGGCCATTTAGGCCTCCATAAGAGATTAGGTTATCTCCTATAGGATTATAAAATAAAAATAGGTGTCATAATTCATTACTTACAATTTCTTTAGTTACTTCCTTCAGCGTGATTAGTAACTTAAATGGATAGACATAGGATTTGCTCATTGAAACATTTAAATTTGAGTCTTCTTTATAAATACTCAAACTTTTTAGATTTTCCATGTTTGACAGTAAATTAGTTCCTTTATCAATTAACTCTTCGTTAACCATTTCAAGCGCAGGATTACTTTTCTATTATAAAAATGAATGATGAGTTATTGGTTATTTTTGTAAATAATGAAAATTTAATTTCTACGAATGGCTAAGTATATCAAATAGCTAAGTCTAAAAATTTGTGAATGATACTAATTATCAAATATATAGATATTTACTTGTTACCTTTAAAACAGAAAGAAATTCATTTTCCGAAAGGTAAACCAAATATAACGTAATATAATCAGTGACTAATATTTCATAACCATCAGACTGCGAAAATTTTAAGTAAAATGGAGGATTGTCTTGTAACTTCTTCCACATTTTAAATACTTAATAAATTGTATAATAAACAAGTGTGTATTTATGACCATTTAATAAACAAAGTTAATTCATTTTACATTTTGTAATAAAACCAATCGTGTATATGTATAGTTTAATGTTTTTATTAGTGACTGTCAAATTTGACGTAAGGTAATAATTTTTATTCTTTAAGATTTTTTAGTTTGGATGCTTGTTCTTTAAGCCCTGTCTTTATTAATTTCATTCGTGATCTTCGTTTTTATAGATTATTTTTACAATAATATGCTAATGCATCACATTGCTAAGTTTTTGGGAGATTTTGACGACAGCTCAACCTAGCGGACAGTCAATGACGAGAGTCAACAGTCACTCAAGTTCATAAAGCACCTAAGCGATCAAAATAACTTGAGGATTATATAAACATTTAATCACTTGTTTCGTAATTTTCTCTAATAGTTCACAGGCGCAGACACTTAATACACAAATTCGCATCACTTTTTCGTTTTAAAATGTCTGAAACACAGTTTCGTTTAAAAAGTTTGAAAGAGTTCAAACTATTATTTAAACGACAAAACAGAAGCAAAAAACTGTCGACTGTCTAGTTCCCGCCAAAACTGCGGTAATAAGTATTACCGACATCATAAAACATAATTACTCTTTACTGAGAAAATGATGCTATCTCAAAATTAGACAAGTAGTAAAATTAAAAAAAAAAATGTACAAGCGACTTCAGTAATAAATAAAACGAGAACATCAACAATGTAGTCGAGATCAATTAAATACAATTTATTAAGGATAAATCAAAAGCTACTAGTAGGTCAGATCCTCAAATAAAAAAAATCATCAAAATCAGTTCATCTACAAAAAGTTACGCAGTAACACACATAAAAAAATACAGTCGAATTGAGTACCTCCTCCGTTTTGGAGACGGTTTAAAATGTAATAGGCGTTTATGAGTATATACTACTAGCATCGTAGTGGACGCCCATATGATTTTTTTTATAGAATACGGTGACTAACGAGCACACAGTCCACCTGATGGTAAGTGGTTGCTGCGGCCTATAGGCATCTACATCTATCCTCGATTACAAATCAAAATGCAGATTCATTGTCACCCGTGGGGACTAAGATGGCCTCGTTTCCATTAAAAAGGGTCTCCGGTTCTATACATTCACCATACGAAACACGGCAGTATTAAGCTACTATTTCACGCTGGTATTCTGTGAGAGCGTGTTCCTTCCCCGGTCGAGCTAACCCATTCGTGCTACAACTATACTACTAATATAACTGCAGCATGGCTCTACCACGTATGATATGGCTAATGATATGGGCATTTAATCATAATTTTGACACAAGCCTTATAAACCTATTTCTTGAAGTCTCATACATTTGAAAGGTTGCACCAAAATTACTTGAATTGGGATAAAATAAAACAATAAATAGGTATAGTTATGTAATTTTATTTTAAGTAAGACTGATTGTTTTATAAACTGTACGTTATTATCGATTTATTTATTGCTTTTGCACATAAGTTTTCCCGTGAGAGTTATTCTTCACATAACAATTATCATTATCATCATCATAATTACAGCCCTTCACAAGTCCGCAGCTGCACATAGAACTCCCCCAAAAAGAGAAAAAAGACCCCGAAGCACGATGTCAGCCACTTGCATCCATCGACTTTCTGCATGTCTTACTACCTTTTCCCCATCGGTTATCAGTTCTTCGAGCTATACGGCGGGCCCATTGTCACTTTAGCTTGTCAATCCATTGGGCTGTGTAGGCAACTGGTTCAACTGCGGATCAGTGGCGGCCCTAGGGCGGTACGAGCGGTGCCACCGCACAGGACGCCGTTAATGGGGCCACGCCGTCAATAAAATAAAATGATGTGTCCTACCCAGCCTGAAGAGCACCTTCCAACCCCCCTCAATTGCATGCACTATCCCCATAGCCAGCTCTCCCAGTAGTGCTGCGATGGCTGAAGGATAAGTGAGTGGCAAGCCGTAACAGTTGCTATTTATATAACACGCTTATCAACGAGTTGTATGAATATATATGTATAATGTATAATGGAGATAGTGTTAGGAGTGGTGGTGATGGGATTAGTGGTGACGAAATTAGTGTCAGCCTCTGCAGAGTCTACTTCATCTGAGGATGCCTCGAAAAAAGTGCATACAAACTTGACTTTTAAAAACGGCAACTTTTCGGTGCATATTCGTGTATTCAAATTACTGTGACAATCTACAAAGCTTGTAACGATCGATCGAACGTGGATAATTGTTTCTTTGTCTAGCATTGCATCTCATGAACCTTGAGGGCGGGCGCCCGCACCTCACCTCCGCTAGCAAAACAAAAGTGCATATTTTTGTGCTCATTTGCGTGTTTACAATGCAACGTACACCTCCGCAAAAGATAAAGTGTATGTCAAGCCCAGATCTGCACAGTGAAATCGATTCTACCAATAACTTCGTTACTTGTAGAAAGCGCAAAGAAATGGACGACGTATCCGAACATAGTACGATATTTTCCAACAATATCTTAAACGAAAAATATATAGAAAAATTAGTGACAAACTCGGTGCGCTCTGTTTTGTCTGCTGAGCTCACCAAAATAACGGATGCCTTAACTAACATCCAATTGGCCGTAGCCGGGATAATTTCAGATAATACTGCTTTAATAAATTTGTTACTGGAAGTTAACAATAAGCTTATGGATATTAATAACACACTATGTTCCCCTGAGTTACGTCAAGATTCATTTGATGCTCGTATTAAAGGGCTTGAAGAAAAAATGCAACAGGTTTCGGAGCGGATTGCTGGTTTAGAAAATAGTTATCATCAATGTAACAACAGGCTAGGGGGGATAAACATCATCCTCCTTTTTTATGTAATAGTGCCTTTTGCCGAGAAGATACGAGGCATGCCGATTAAACACACACGTTACTGTTTTGGAAAGTGCGGACTACGTATTGATTAATAAAGTAATATTAGATACTGAATGGAAGGCTTTGATGAAAGACGACGTTTCTGCTGAAGCTGCTGTGGACTTATTTTATGACGGAATATATGGTATTATACGAAAATATATAGTAAGGAAAACTGCAAAAAAACAGCAATTATCATAAATGGTTTGATTCATCATTGATACATATCTTCAAAAATAAAAATAATGCTTGGGTTAAATGAAAAAAAAAATAAACACTCACGCCTGTCACCCAGAGGGGTAGGCAGAGACTACGGACTTCCATTTGGCACTATGGCACATCTACGCATACATGTTCGTCGGTTAAGGGTACTTCTAACGTGGCCCATTTCCAAAATATCGCCAATTTGGTCGATAAACTTTTTCCTAGGGCGTCCCTTCCCGACTCGGCCGTTCACATCTGCCATATAAATTTGCTTTGTCACTCTTTCCTCATTCATTCTTTCTACATGACCAAACCACCGAAGCATTCCTTGCTTAATCCTGGTCACAACATCATCTTGTATACCACATTTATCTCTTATCACGCAATTTCTCACCCTGTCATTCAGATTCAACCCTAGCATATTCCTTAAAGACCGCATTTCTACAGCATTTATTCTACTTTCGTGCTTCTTCTGCCACACCCAGCTTTCACTACCATACATTAAAGTAGGGACTAACACAGCATTATGAATTACCATACGTGCCTTTTTTGACACATTATGGTTCTTGATAATAGAGTGTAGTGCCCCATTCACTCTATTCCCTGCATTTACTCGTCGTTCTATATCCCTATCATATCTACCATCCCTGCTAAATACACATCCCAAATACACAAACTCATCCACTTGCTCAATTAACTCTCCTTCTATTCTTATTTCACATACCGTTTTACTTTCTTCTCTTTCAAAAACCATCACTTTCGTCTTACTTGCGTTCACTTTCATTAAATTTATCAGATTATAAAACATTTGCATTGTACAGAAAACGTTTTAAAACTGAATCTAAATTACGTTATGCTCCAAAATTATATGGATACTGTCGAGAATTGTGTAAAGCAAAATATTAAATATTTCTGGAAATATGTAACAAATTACAAAAGCAGCCTAGAAACTCCGTCAATTTTTTTTATAAAAACAAATTTGCTAGTAACCCCAAGGAAGTATGTAATTCATTCTCTGATTTTTCTTTTCGGTATTTGAACCCACTTCAGTCACTGACGATTTGAATTATGATAACATTAATATACCAAATGATAACAATTCTGATTTCGTTATTACTAACATTTATATTTTTGACAATGATGTAACAGAGTCCCTTTTAAATTTAGATGCGAATAAAGGAGCTGGTATTGACAACTTCCACCTTATTTTCTGAAAGCTACAGCACATACTATTGCAAAACAAATTCATTACCTTTTTAAAAAATGCTTAAAAGAAGGGGTATGTCTATCTATTTGGAAAACAGCTCGTGTTGTTCCAATTTACAACGCAGGCTCAAAAAAAAAAAGATGTTGAGAATTACGGACCGGTATCGATTTTATCAACACTCGCTAAAACTTTTGAAAGGTTAATACATAATGCGTTATATCCTAGTCTTCACAATATAATAATTCCACAGGAGCACGGTTTTATTAAGAAGCGTTCAACTATATCTTACTTATTAATTTATACAAACGTCCAGACTGATTGCATATACACAGATTTCCGCAAAGCTTTCGATCGCGTAGACCATAAATTACTTCTGCAAAAGCTAGCCTTTAATGGTCGTATGTGACAAATCGGTTTTGAGTCAGATATTGTGCATATAAGTTCTGGTGTGCCACAAGGATCAATATTAGGGCCTCTTCTTTTTGTCCTGTACATTAATGATGTTAATAGTTGTTTCAAGTTTTGTAATTTTATTCTGTACGCAGATGATATAAAAAAAATTATCGCAAAATTCAATATTATCATGACCACCTTAACTATCGAAAAAGATTTAGATACTTTTACATCTTACTGTAAACACAATAAGTTAGATTTGAGTTTTAATAAATGTAAAGCCATAACGTTTAT